TCTTCAGGAAGATAAAATAAATTTATATGTGGCTCCAATAACACCAAGGCTTCTGGTCCAGTTTGAGGACCACAGGTTTGAGAAATAACCTTGGCTGTGCAAACCACATGAAAGTGAACCCTGAAAACAGCCCTGTACCCCAGTTTTTACCTACTAAAGTCCCAGTCAGCTCTTCAAGTTTTGGTGCATTAATGTTTTATTCTAAAAAAAATTTTTTTCACCATCAATTTTTTAAAAAATTTTATTTTTAATTGACAAATAATAATTGTATATATTATGGGGTACAATATGATGTTTTGATACATGTATACATTGTGGAATGATTAAATCAGGCTAGTTAACATATCTCTCACATCAAGTATTTATCATTTCTTTGTGGTGAGAACATTTAAAATCCTCCCTTATAGCTATTTTGAAATGTGCAGTACATTGTTTTTAACTATAGTCATCATGCTGTGCAATAGAAACTTTGTACCCTTTGACCCACATCTCCCCTTTCCTCATCTCTCCCCACCAGCAGCCTCTGGTAACCACCGTTCCACTCACTACTTTTATGAGTTTGACTTTTTTAGATTCTACCTGTAAGTGAGATCATAAGGTATTCGTCTCTTTGGACCTGGCTTATTTCATGTAGCAAAATGTTCTCTGTGTTCACCCATGTTTTGCAAATGACAGACTCTCCTGATTTTTCAAGGCTGGATAGTATTCCATTGTGTATATATACCACATTTCTTAAATCCATTTGTCTGTCGATGGGCACTTTGGTTGTTTCCATATCTTATTTACTGTGAATAATGCTGCATTAAACATGGGAATTCAGACATTATTCAAGGTAAGAAGAGGCACAGACTTTGTTTCCCTCTTCCCAAGTGGGTGCAGAACTTGCATGCTGTATCTTATTTACTGTGAATAATGCTGCATTAAACATGGGAATTCAGACATTATTTAAGGTAAGAAGAGGCACAGACTTTGTTTCCCTCTTCCCAAGTGGGTGCAGAACTTGCATGCTGCTGGAAATGTGTGTGTGTGTGTGTGTGTGTGTGAGTGTGTGTGTGTGTGTGTGTGTGTGTGTGTGAAGAAGCTTCTCCTCGTTGGTTTTTGAAGTTGAAGGATTACCAGAAATGAGGTCCATTTGTTCTTTGTGTAGTTGGTGGTTAGAGGAATAATTGAAATTATTAAAAAATTAATAATTTTTTAAAGGGCTGGGCCAAAGGAGGGTAAGTGGCCTTGAGACAAGTTTGGGTGAGGGTGGAAAAAATAGCCTTTCTGTTGTCCTAAAATAAGCTGATATAGTTATCTGTGGCTTTCAAGTGTTTATATCTTTATTTAACTGCAAAGATAGAAAAGCAAAAAGAGGCAAATGGCCTAGATGAGTTGATTGCCACTTGTTTTTTCCACCTGAAGAGCAATAAAAGAGTGTTTGTAAATTGCAGGTGGATACCTATGGATATGTATAAAATCCTTTCTTGCTTGCCCAGGAAGAAAAGCAAAGATGAGGTATGTGCTCAAGAGAGCTTAGGAAAAGAAAAGAAAAAAAATTAAAATCAATTGTTTATAGGAGGGTGGTTAAATACTTTATAGGTTGGCCAAATGACCAATTCTTAGTTAAGACTTTTTAAAAATTATTTTTAGAAAAATGTAATTAGGAAGGAAATAATACTGGAAAACAAAAAACAAAATCAAAGCCCTGCTTTTTCCTATTGGAGTATATAAAGGTAGTTCAAAATGTTCATGGAAAGAGTCTTATTTAGTTCTCTTTTCCCATGAACTTTTTGAGGTATCCTTGTACTATTAAAATTTAATTGTCCCTTATTTTTAGGTGATGGATAATTTATTCATTGAAATATTGTTTCTGTAGTTAAATAGCAGCCATTTATCAGTTCCATTTTGATCTTGGCTTGTTTTTCTGGCAACTGACAAGGACTAACTTAAAGGAGAATGAAGAAAATTCTAAATCATCCTTGTAATTCCCCTTTTTATTCCTGGTATTTCTCCAACTTATGGGTTTGGGGGAATCAGCCAAATTTTCAAGGTGGTACTGGCCTTGATGCCAAAATTCTAGTGCAAACGCATCTCTGTTGCTACAGCTACCTTTGAAAATTGATGTGGTTTCAGGAAAACAGCCATAATTTCTTTCATCCCATGAAAAATAAAAGTTGTTACATTATATAGGCAAGGCAGCTGAAATAGGTAATGTCAGCATGAATAAACAAATATGGAAAGCTTATATACATATATATGAGAGATACAGATAAGAGAGATTCCCAGCTAGATCACCCAGTTCGTTGGTGCTACAGCCAAGTCTAGAATTCCAGTTTGTGACTCTGTGCAAGGCTCCTGCAACTTTGCTACTAAATGTTTTCATTTTGTATCATCTAGTACTATTCTACATCCTCTCAAACATTTTATATTAGAAAATCAGATGATCATAGAATTTTATAATATGAAACTTGTAAAACCTGATGAGTTGTTTTCATGAGAAATTTCTAGTAATTAATGAATAACCCATGCATGGCAAAGCCCTCTGGGATTACCAGGTATGTTGTCAATAAATATAGTCAAGATTCTCAACAACCTGTGTATATAAGAAAGTTCCCCTGTAATGCAGTATTCCATTTCTTACAGCCTTGGATGGAGTGTAAAGAAACCAATTAACCGTCTTTTGCTAAAGAATAAGTTTCTCAGTGTTATCCAGATAGCCTTATGTTGCACTATGTCCTGTCAATTTGATCTAATTTAAAAAAATCACACAGATGACTGTATGGTTTTGGTTTTAAAACTCAGTTTCATTCCATCTGTGTCTCATTTTATTCATTTGTCCAATGATACATTCATCTACTTTTCTTTTTTTTTCCCCACAATTATGCAGGTAGAATAAAATGAAATTACGGCAATGAAGATACTTTGAAAAATTACAAGTCTGATACAAATGTGGGTTTAATACTAAGTTTCTCTTATTATTGAAATCCACCCAGTTCTTCCCTTACACTTTCTTGACATCAGTGTTTGGAAAAGCAGTGTGGGTAGTTCTCTGGCTGTCCATGGCTGGAGCCAGAGGAAGATGCTCAGTGCAGCAGTTGGCTACTAATGTTCTTCCATGGAGTACAGAACAGGCAGGACTGTTACAGAATATCGAGAGGTTGTAGTTTCTATGCCTTAGGAATTTGCAGTTTCAAATATGTGAAATGAACAGACATTAAGTTAATTATTTTTAGGGTTGGTATGAAAGGGGGGAGTCCAGAGGTGAGGAATGTTTAGGAAAATATCTTAGACATGCTCTATTGGAGAAGGAAACATTGCATGGTATAGAATTTTTTTTGGTAATTAAATCTTATTCTTACTAAAAGTTAAAGTTTTAAAAATTTTAATATTTTTGATAGATTTCTCAAACACTATATGTGTGTGAGTATATATTTCCTTGCAATCTTAAAATATATGTATAGTTGTTATTTCAGTTATTCATTCAACAATTGTCGGTTGAGCACCAATTTTGTGTTCTACAAGGCTAGTCTGGTACCCTGCACATAGTACAGGATCCATATATGTTCCAAAAAAGCAGAGCAGTAGCTGCTTTTGCTCAACATTATATCCATAGAGCCTCGCACAGTGTTTGATACATACTAGGTCTTAATGAATAAATTGAGTTAGACTATGTGGTCTAGTTTGACACAAATGTTTTATAATTGTATGAAGAGGCATCTATTTTTTTTTTTCCTTTTTGTCTTTTTTCGTGTCCGGCAACGGATCGCAACCCTCAGTGTCGCGCCCGTACTGGACCGGGACCGGCAACAGGACCGCAAACCTTGGTGCTGCGCCCGCACCTCGCTCAGCCAGTGAGCGGGAACCGGTCTGTATGTGGGATCCGAACCCTCGGCGGGAGCGCCACCACGCTCCCAAGCGGCGCACTGTAGCAGTGCGCCACCGGGCCGGCCCTGAGAGGCATCTATTTTAAATGATCTCCTTATTATGGACAAAGTGGTTTTCTTGCCTGTACTTGAATGTTTCCAGTGACAGGAATGCAACGTGACTGGAAGTAGACCATTCCATCCTTGCACAACTGTATCCGTCAGGGTTCCCCAGATTAACAGAACCAATACCAGATTCTCTCTCTCTTTCTCGTTTTTTTTTTTTTTTGTCTTTTTCCGTGTCCGGCAACGGATCGCAACCCTCAGTGTTGCCCCCGTACCGGACCGGGGACCGGCAATGGGATCGCAACCCTTGGCGTTGCCCCCGCGCCTCGCTCAGCCAGTGAGCGGGAACCGGTCCGTATGCGGGATCCGAACCCTCGGGCGGGAGCGCCGCCGTGCTTCCCAAGCGGCGCACTATCCCGTGTGCCACTGGGCCGGCCCATCTCTCTCTCTTTCTCACTCACACAGACACACACACTTTCTTCTTCCCTTCCTTCCTTTCTTCCATCCATCCGTCCATCCATCTCCCATCATTGTGGCGGCTGGCAAGACTGAAATCTGTAGAGGGGGCTGGCAGGCTGGAACGCAGGCAGGAGTTAATGTTGCAATCTTGAAGCAGAATTTCTTCTACTCCAGGAAACCTCAGTTTTTGCACTTAAAGCCTTCCAGTAATTGGATGAGTCCCACCCACATTATCAAGGGCAATCTTTGCTTAAGGTCTACCAATGGTAGAGGTTAACCTCATCTATAAACTGCCTCTTGTTAGCCCGTACATTAGTGTGTGATTGAATAAATGGATGCTATAGCCCAGCCAAATTGACACATGAAACTATCACATCTTCCTGTTTGTTACTTTACCTTCTTTGGAACCAAAGGCTTTTCTCATTGGCTTTACATTTATCCCTTTACTGGGCTGGAGCCAGCAAATCCAGACCTTGGGAAACTTTATGAGGTAAAGGGGAAAAAACTAGATGAAGGGGGATTAAAAGAAATTTAAGAGACAACTGACATAGCAACCAATGCAACAATCAGAACTTGTTTGGATTCTGATGTAAACGAATCAATCTTAAGAAAGAAAGAGGGGGGATCCTCTTCTTTCCTCGCACAGCCAGGCGGCCTCTGCTCGAGGCCCGCGTCGCCATGGCCGCGGTTCCCGAGTTACTGCAGCAGCAGGAGGAGGACCGCAGCAAGCTGAGATCTGTATCTGTGGACCTGAATGTTGATCCCTCACTTCAGATTGACATACCTGATGCACTCAGTGAGAGAGATAAGGTCAAATTTACAGTGCACACCAAGACCACATTGCCTACGTTTCAGAGTCCAGAGTTTTCTGTTACAAGGCAACATGAAGACTTTGTGTGGCTACACGACACTCTTATTGAAACAACAGACTATGCTGGGCTTATTATTCCACCCGCGCCTACAAAGCCCGACTTTGATGGCCCTCGAGAGAAGATGCAGAAGCTGGGAGAAGGTGAAGGGTCCATGACGAAAGAAGAATTTGCCAAGATGAAGCAAGAACTGGAAGCTGAGTATCTGGCTGTCTTTAAGAAGACTGTGTCCTCCCATGAAATCTTTCTTCAGAGACTTTGTTCTCACCCTGTTCTGAGTAAAGATCACAACTTTCATGTTTTCTTGGAATATGATCAGTATCTAAATGTTAGGTGGAAACTAAGTGTCAGGCAGAAAAATACCAAAGAGATGTTTGGTGGATTTTTCAAAAGTGTGGTGAAAAGTGCTGATGAAGTCCTTTTTTCTGGAGTTAAGGAGGTAGATGACTTCTTTGAGCAAGAGAAGAACTTCCTTATTAATTATTACAATAGGATCAAGGATTCCTGTGCAAAAGCTGACAAGATGACCAGATCTCATAAAAATGTTGCTGATGACTATATCCACACTGCAGCCTGCTTGCACAGCCTGGCTTTACAAGAGCCCACAGTCATCAAAAAGTACCTATTGAAGGTTGCTGAGCTATTTGAAAAACTTAGGAAAGTGGAGGGTCGAGTCTCTTCAGATGAAGATTTAAAGCTGACAGAGCTTCTCCGATACTACATGCTCAACATAGAGGCCGCTAAGGATCTCTTGTACAGAAGCACCAAGGCCCTGATTGACTATGAGAACTCAAACAAAGCTCTGGATAAGGCCCGGTTAAAAAGCAAAGATGTCAAGTTGGCTGAGGCACACCAGCAGGAATGCTGCCAGAAATTTGAACAGCTTTCTGAGTCTGCAATAGAAGGTCGAGCCAGGGGCATTCTTTTGTACTTTTTACATTTTATTTGGAAATGATTTCAAGCTTAGAGGAAAAGTTGCACAAAAAGTACAAAAACACCCAAGTCTCCTTCACCTAGAGTCAGCATGTGGCCCCTCTGGTTTATCACTTGCACATGCCTGCTGGCCCTCACAGCTCCTGTGTGTGTCCGTAAACCATTTGATATTACATTGCATATATTATGATCCTTTTATCCCTAAAAATGTTGTCATGTATGTCCTGAGACTAAAGTCATTCTCTGTCATCCCTGCCATAGTTATCCACTGCAGTAAATTTAACTTTGATATGATGTAGTGTGCTGTCTGTATTCTCATGCTGTTTGCTCAGTCGTGTCTTCCACTACAAGATCCAGGCTAGGACTGCATCAGGTTACTTAGCTCTTAGTCTTCTTTACTCTAGAACAGTTCGCTTATTTATTTATAGGATATTGACCTTTTAAAGAATGTAATTTCTTTTAACAAGTAGAATGTTCCCAGTTTTCGTTTGGTCTGTTTGCTCATGTGATCCTGTCAGAATACTACATGAGTTATATGTCCTTCTTGGGGCATCACATCTGAGGGCATATTGTCTCCATCTCCCCCTTGTTTGTGGTGTTAATTTTGATTACTCAGTCAGGTTTGATTTCTTCATTGTGTAGTTACTACTATGTTTTTTATCTAATCTGTGGGGAGACAATTTAAGACCACATGTATATCCTGCTCTTTATCATACTTTTTCCCTACATTAGCATGTTGATGATTCTTGCCTGAATGAGCCTTTACTCTGATGGTTGCAAAAAAGGCGATTTCTCCCCTCCCCCAACTTTAGGATTCCCTTCCCAAGTGGGCACTTGGCATCATACTACAAATAGTATTGTTGACATAATTAGACAATAAAATAGACAGTACTGTTGTATTGTCTGGACTTTGTAGAGTTCCAGTCATTCTATACTGCGGTTATATCTTTTACAAAACAATTCTTATCTTTTAGAGACACATACTGAAATATATACAGATGAATGCTATGATACTGGGATTTACTCACAATAATCCAGGGGGAAGACAGAAAGTGGGTGGGGAGTGCATATAAGATAAGATTGCCCATGAGTTGTTGATTGGTGTAGCCAGATTTATTGCATATATATTAAGTTTTTCATAGTAAAAAGTTAAAAAATAAAAAGTAAACATATTTATTGTATTGATACTACTTGCTACCAGTAATGTAAGTTCTTTTGATTTTACACAAAAAGTTGACCAAATTATAAAATTAATGGTTGTGATAGTAAGATTTAAAAAAATGAAAAGATTGTGATAACTACAAACTATATTTTATATATACCACATTCTGTTTATTCATTCATCCATTGATAGTCATTTGGGTTATTTTCATCTTTTGTCTATTGTGAATAATGCTGCTGTGGACATTAGTGGACAACCACCTGGTCAAGTCCCTGCTAATATTTTATATCTTTTAAAATTCCAAGAAATTTGGGTAATGACTTAATGTACAATTTTGAGTTTCCCTTGTAATCAAAACCTTCAGTGAGATGTTGAGAATGAATTACTTTTAATGTTGTAATTTGTATTAGTCATCAGGAATGGATATTAGACATTGTATAAGCATTTTTTCCAAAAGAAAAAATAAATAAATAAAATTATCCCCTTAGAGCATGATGAATCCCTCTTTCTTATGAGAGCCCTTCACTTAGCTGAAGATAGCTAGCATGCCCGAGTCCTTTCTTCCATAGTCTAGTTACAGACAGAAGATGTTGGCTCATGGGGGAGTTTATTGCCAATGAAGGCCTTTTTTTTTTTTTGGTTATTTTAATGTATTCTATTGCTGAACCAAATCTTCTTAAACCTATACCTGAGTAGTGTGTGTATATTTAACCCAGGTGTAGAAGATTATTTTCATCCTCTTAAATATTTTGTTAGATTTAATCAATTCTTCTGTTAGGAGACTTTTGGATCCAGCATATCATGTATGTATCAACCTCTCCACTTTCTGTCATCTGGAAATATGTTTGTTTTGGAACATTATAGGCCCTTGATGCTCTCATTGAATCATAGAATTTTTTACTTTGGTATTATTTAGCTCAATGAAATGATGAAAAATCCCAATGAAATTATATCATTTTTTGGATAACTTATAGCTAGTTAAGAAAAACATAGGTATTTGGCTCATAGTATAGGGACATTATCACCATAACACATTACTTTCATGTTCATTAAATAATTTCTGTTTAGGAGATATGCCATAAAAAAGGTGAGCTGGGAAGAAGCATTAGGGTTATAATCTCTTGTTTAATATCGTATTTTACATTTGTGTTTCAGTCTCAGATGTTTGTCTTAGGACTGAAGGTACATGGGGGTTAAACTTATGGTCTAGGACAATGACACCAAATTTTCTACTGACAGAAGCTAAGTAGACCACATTGGAATGGAACCCATAACCTTGAGCTTATTAACACCATGCTTCCTTACAGTTAAGTTTTATGTAGAATCAAATTAAAGCAATATAGTTATTCTTTCCCCAATATTCGGACAAAGTGATTTTAAATTGCTCTTTGACAGTGGCATTTATAAAACTTATGCAATGGTAGTGTAGAAAGAACTGCAGAGTGGAGAAAAGTTCCTAAGTTTCCACTGTTTTAGGTACAAAGATAACATCTTTTTGTTAGTGATGCATTTCCTGTTTTTAAAATCTTTCAAAAAGTTCTCTCTTGTTTTAGCCATGTGGCAGTAAATTAAGAGGTGAAGCCAAAAATAAAAAAAATAAGAATAAGAAATTGTGAATATTTATTTGTCTGAAAAGTACTTGACTTCTTTTTGCATTAAGAACCTTATAAATTACAACTGAACCTACCAACCCAGCCAGCTTTCTAGTCATTGGCGACACACATTGAGTCAGATGTTTTCAAGGAAGACTCAGCCACACATGGTAGTATGAATAATGGTTATCTGTTCTACTGCTTGGGACATTTTCCCATTCAAATATTTTGTATCTTTAATCTATTTTTAGCAGTGTTCCAAAAGCAGTGAAATCAGGAGCACAGTATGTTAAATACTTGTATCCCCAAATTTAACCCATGATTACTTATATCTCCCATTTACCAATTTACAAATATTTATGAATATCCCACTATTTTCTGGACTCTTCCATCCTCTCCTACATTTCCCCCACCATAAGCCCAATAAAATGCCAGTATTTGTGGGGGAAGCCTAAATAACTATATAAAATTGTCCTTGTCCTCAGGGACCATCATGTTTTGTTGGGTATGTATATCTTACAATTAGAAATCACCTATTGATAGTTTGCATTCAGCAGAAAGAATGATTTTTACAGATTTTTTTCTTGAAATATTTTTAGATAATTGTACAGAGTTACAAGACTAATACATGGAGTTCTTGTATACCCTTCACCTAGTTTCCCATTGATAACATCTCACAGCCACAATACATTATCAGAATCAGGAAATTGACATAGACACGATGCCTATTGTATGACATGCGTACAACTAAGCTACAGATCTTAGAATAATTGATTTTTGACTCAGTTCAGGCCTATTTGAGGAGACAACTTGGAAGGGATAGAGAAAGGGAGACTTGGAGAAAGGCTAGAGCTCATCATGAGTTTTCAAAAGATGAAATCCAATAAGATATTTATTATTAGAAATTTGTGTCTTGAGGTATGTGCAGTTTAGCTGTTTAGATCATACATAAGACAATGCTTTAGTTGTATAACTCAGGCCATAAATGCTACAGAAATCAATGGGAGGAAGAGAAATCAATTGGAAATATTTGAGAAGAACTTTAGGAAGGCAGTGAGCTTAAAATACTGTAGGCTCGGTGGGATTTTATGGTGAGGAGTGAAACAGCTTTTCCCCTTATTTTTTATATTTCAAAATTATGATATTTTCATCACAATAATTCACATATGACATTGATGTTGGAATTAGAAGGGGAAAAAGACCAATGTTGTGAAGCTTTTCCCCTTTGTTTTCTTCTAGGTTTTTACAGTTTCAGGTTATACATTTAAGTCTTTAATCTGTTTTGAGTTGATTTTTTGTATATAGTATAAGATAGGGGTCCAGTTTCGTCCTTTGCATATGGATATCCAGTTTTTCCAGCACCAATTGTTGAAGAGACTATCCTTTCCCTATTGTGTATTCTTGGTACCCTTGTTGAAGATAAGTTGACCATATACATGGGTAGTTCAAAAAAGCTCATGGAAGCCGGGTGCAGTGGCGCGCGCCTGTAGTCCCAGCTACTCGGGAGGCTGAGGCTGGAGGATTGCTTGAGCCCAGGAGTTCTGGGCTGTAGTGCGCTATGCTGATCGGGTGTCCGCACTAAGTTCGGCATCAATATGGTGACCTCCCGGGAGCAGGGGACCACCAGGTTGCCTAAGGAGGGGTGAACCGGCCCAGGTCGAATAAAGCTCATGGAAAAAATAGAATTAAAAAGATAGTATAGGGCTGGCCTGGTGGCGCACTGCTACAGTGTGCCGCTTGGGAGCGCGGTGGCGCTCCCGCCGAGGGTTCGGATCCCACATACAGACCGGTTCCTGCTCACTGGCTGAGCGAGGTGTGGGCGCAACACCGAGGGTTGCGATCCCGTTGCCGGTCCCGGTCCGGTACGGGCGCGCCACTGAGGGTTGCGATCCGTTGCTGGACACGAAAAAAGACAAAAGAAAAAAAAAAGATAGTATAAATCTTTCCATGAACTTTTTGAAGCACCTCATATGTGTGGGTTTATATCTGGACTCTCTAATCTGATCCATTGGTCTGTGTGTCTGTTTTTATGCTAATGCCATACTGTTCTGATTACTATAGCATTACAATATAGTTTGAAATCAGGAAATGTGATGATTCCAGCTTTATTCTTCTTATTCAAAATTGCTTTGGCTATTCTGGGTCTTTTGTTGTTCCATATACATTTTAGGATTGTTTTTTCTATTTCTATAAGAAATGTTATTGGAGTTTTGGTGAGAATAGCATTGAGTCTGCTTTAGATTGCTTTGTATAGTATATAGTATAAACATCTTAACAATATAAGTCTTCCAATCCATAAACATGGAATGTCTTTCCATTTATTTGTGCCTTCATTAATTTCTTTCATCAATGTATTACAGTTTTCAGTGTACAAGTCTTTCACTTCCTTGGTTAAGTTTATTCCTGAGTATTTTATTCTTTGTGATGTCATTGTAAATAGGATTGTTTTCTTAATTTCTCTTTTTGATAGCTGGGTGTTTGTCGGGGTGCTCTCTTGGTTAGCCAGGCCCAGGGGCTCTGGATTTCCCTGGCCGTGGCCA